TTCGTGCCCTCAACTTGTTGGTTAGGCAACAATTGCTCTAACCATTGAGCCACGGGTTTATCGTCTTGTCGATTTCTATTTGCTACTCTGTAGTATTTTCTGAGTTTCGTATAAACTAGAAGGCAGGCATCCCAAGAAATGTAATTTAAAGGAAAGGCGTTCTTTGGGAAAATGAGGATATTTTTTCAGTAAATTTTCGACACTGGATCCCCAGGTCGTCGTCAGACTTGAAAAAAAGGTGCAAAGAACAATTAGCATTTCAAAGTGCTGATACAGTTATGTAGTCGTCTATTATGGATGCTAGTTGGGAGTTGCAATTTGCGTCACATCGTGGTGGGCATAATTAGCAGTCACAATGGCGTAATGGCTAATTTGCAACTGTAATTTGAGTCGGTCCAGATAATCCGATGTGAGCGCTAATTGCGGTTCATGTTGGTCCATAGTTCTTGGGTGTAGTCTCTTCCACCTTTCTTTGAGATGTTTGTACACTCCAGCTAACTCAATACGCCGGGTTGATTGCATGAATCATCGGAGTGCATGGCCTCAAGAAATTCTCGGCCTTTTTGGAGAGGCAAACTCCGACGATGCGTGTTTTGTCTCATGCAACGGTATGCCCTGTGTCAAGGCAATGCATAGCCACTTCGGACTAATGGTCACTTCTCTTCACTGCCAATTGGTGCTCGTGGATGCGTGTGGAGACGGATATTCCTGTTTGACCACAATATACCGTGTCACAAGCTTCGCTAGTACACCCTTTAGGATAGGGTTTGCTACCTCGATAAGTCATCTACAAAATCTCATGCGATTACCAATTAGCACCCACACTAGACGACTATATAACCGTATCAGCACTTTGAAATGTTAATTGCTCTTTGCACAATTTTTCTCAAGTCTGTCGACGACCTGGGGATCCAGTGTCGAAAAGTTACTGAATAAATATCATCATTTCCCAAAGGACGCCCTTCCTTGAAATTATTTTCTGACTGATTTCTGGTAATCGCAGACTTACAGTTAACCTACAGTCAGCACAGTGAGTGACTGATTTCATAAAATGCTAACCAAAATTGCGAAAAGTGATATTGTTTTCAATGTGGTTACTTCGGTGAGGCTGTAGTGCTATTCCTCCTGCAGCCAACTCGAAATATATTTTAGTAACCGCGGGATGCTCAGGACCTTTTCAACCTAAATGGAGACACCAAATTATGCAAAAAATGACTGCTTAAGCAGTATGACTCCTTCGCATTGATTTCAGATGCCCCCATAAACTTGAATATATTTTACAGAAAAAATATGTGCAAAAATATCCTTAATCGCGTTTGTTTTTTAGTTAATACCGTCTTCTTCAGACTTCAGTATTCGGCTTTAAACATGATTCTCACTAAGTCATTTGTTAAGAATAGATCATGTCCAGTAGTGAAGCATCGCAAATATCCACATAGTACTTTTTTTATTGTGAATTATACCACATGGCGACGGGTTGGTGCTACCTGCTTGAAAATTCATAACCATATCTGGTCTTTTTCCTACGAACCTTTCTTCTTCTTTAACATGATCCGTATCCACTGAAAACAATTTGCGCCTTCTATAGCATCCTCTTAATAGTTTCTAGGAATGTATGCTTTTCTGACACGGAAACTATACAACTTGCACAGTGAGTGACTGATCGCGTGAAATGCTAACCAAAATTACGAAACGTGGTTTCTATTCGGTGCGGTTACTTCGGTGGGGCTGGAATATTATTGATCGTGCGGCAAACTCCAAAGATATTTCAGTGACCGAAGGAAACTGAGGACCTTTTCAACTACATGGAAAAACTAGATTTTATAAAAAATGACTCCTTCACAGTGGTTTCTGATGCCTTCATAAACTTGAGTATATTTTATAGAAAACCATGTGCCAAATATGTTCTTCACTGCGTTGGTTTGCTAGTAAATACTGCCTTCGTCAGACTTTATACCTGAAGAAAAGTTAGTTTTCGGTTTAAAAAATGTTTCTAATTGGGTCATTTTTTGAGACGGGCAAATGTGCAGCCAGGAAGCATAGTAAATTTTAATTTAGTAATTTTGCTCTTAGATTATACAACATGATCCATATCCACTGAAACAATTTGCACCTTATATATCACCATATTGATATTTTTTTAATGTATAGTTTTCTGAATCGTAAACTATACAACTTGCAATTTGTAAACCTTAACTGCAGATTCAGTAGCAGGTCAGGTTCAAACTTTGCGAATTGAAGACACCTTTTAAAACGGAAATTTATCCTTTCTTTGAGTACAAAATTTAAAGAAGACATGCTTAGTTAAAAAAAACGTGTGCCATAAATATTTTTTTACGCTTCCTGTAACATAGATGTGGTTTTATATAGTCACGAAAATTAATGGGAAAAGTTCTAGTACTTAAGTACCCGTTTTCCACGGGCGGGGGCGGAGTTTCTGTAGGCGGCTGGTACTAAGTTCATTCAAAAGCCGGCTGAAATATCTTGGAATTATGCCGCCCGACAATAATAAAACCCTGCTTAAGT